GCCGCGCTCACTGATCCATCTTCCCTCTTCCTCAGCGCCAAACCCACCTTCAGCTCCTCCATTGCCAACTGATATATATTCTGCTCCGCATACAACGCCCAACCCAACATCGGCACCCCCGCACGCATCGACTCAAGCATTGAGTTCCACCCACAGTGGGTTATGAAACCACCTACCGAGTCATGGCTCAGCACTTCCACCTGTGGAGCCCACCCTTTCAAGACTAACCCCCTGTCTCTATTCCTCTCTAGGAACCCTTCCGGTAACAACGACTCTAAGCTCGGCTCAGTCGTGGCGGCCACGCTTTCAACCGGCGGCGGAGCGCGCACAACCCACAAAAACCTTACACCGCTTTTCTCTAACCCAATTGCCATTTCTTTCAGCTGCTCTGCGGAGAACTTCCCTAAGCTACCAAAACTTAAAAACACGACACTTCGACTCGGTTGCGAGTCAAGCCAAGTCAGGCACTCGTGCTTAGTGCCTCCTTCAACGCTTCCTTCAGTAGCGACCAGCGGCCCTAGACAGTATATCGCCGGAGCAGGTTCACCGGGGGTGCAATCTCCGTTAAGTATTGCCTTCAGAGCTCTCTCCTCCAATGTTTCAATGGAGTTAACCACGATCCCTGCTGACTTAGGCATTTGGAGTGCAGTCTCCAAGAAATACTGGTAAATTGTTTTAGAACGATCGAGCATGGGAGCTGGCATGTTTTTTGCTAAGATAGGTGGCATGCCCGGAATATTGATAACCTCATCGAGGTCTTTGAAATTTCTAGTTAGGCTCTTATGCAGGGTAGGAAAGTAAAGGAAGGCAGTGAATGCAGTAAGGCCACCGGTGATGTAGTAGTACGTGAGGATGCCAAGACTTGTGGAGACATCAAAGGAATAGTTGCAGAAGAAATCCATGATCACGGCCTTGATGTTGGCCGATCGAGAAATGGATATGAGTGCTTGGTGGTAATTAGGGTTATTTATAGTATGCCACTCGAAAGATAGAGTATGGATGTCCATGATTGAGAAGGATGTATTCTTGGTGGGGAGGGAGACGGTGGGGAGGTGATAAAAAGTAATTGAAGGGGTTGTGGAGGAGACAGCGGCGATGTAAGGGGCAGTGGAGCCGGTTTCGTAAGGTGCTTCGGAGATGATGATGGTGACAGAGAAAGAAGGGTGGTGGGTTAGTATGCGCTTGGCAAGTTCTACCATGGAAACAAGATGGCCTCTTCCCGGCGAGGGATACAAAAGGATTGTGTCCTCCATTTCCTTCAGTATCATGCCTTCACATATACGCCCAATTGATGCTTCGATCTCTCTTTTGCCTTGATTTATAAACCATACCAGTACATATAATGTAATTTGTAATTGATTTGATTTTTTTTTTATTAATCCCCTACGCAAAGCCACGGTTTAAATTCAATTAATTTAAAATTAAATCACATTAAATCCATTAAAAAAAATTCTTTCGTTGCCTTTCTTATCATTTATAGAACTAAAATTTAAAATTTTATTTGAGAGAAATTAAATTCTTTTAATTCAAATTAGTATGTCATGTGAATTGAACTTTTAGGCCAATGGTTCGACCTCAAGTTTTAAGTAGTTGGGTGAGGTAGTCGGAGCATCGAACTCTACTATCGTCGTGAACTCCACCAAAAAGTGACCCAATGGCTGCGCGTCTCATTTGAGGAGCTGAAATATTCACTCGGTTTGGGAATCGAATCCCCAGTTGCTAATAACTAATTCAAACTAACTTCCTAACCATTATCCTTGTCAACAAAAAAAAAAAAAAAAAGTACATCATGTAGTTGAATTTAGTTGTCTATTTTAGTTCAAATTTAAGAAAAAAGTAGCACATTCCACCTAATTTTCGAATTTCCCCATCTTATTAGGACTCATTAGTGCAATGTTAATTTTCCGCTAGAGTGTTCTAGCTACAAGTCAAATATTGGTCCATTTATTAAACTTTATTAATCTTAGTTTTTAATTTATGGAATTCAAATTTAATTGTCTATTATTTTTTATAATGCTATTTAATGTATTTATTTGTTATTTTATTTTTATTTAAAAAATTTAATATATATTATTAAATAAGAAGTCATAAGAGAATTATCAACTACTTATTGATTTGAATATAAGGAGTTTGATTTTTTAAAAATAAAATTTGGAGTTCGAGTCTTATGATTAAAGAAATAAATAACGGGACAATTTCTCTATTGTGAAATTTGATGCAATTCAATTCTGAATTAATTGAAATATAATGTAATTATCAAATATAATGAGCTTTGTTTAAAAAAAAAAAAAATCATAAAGGAGTTTGGTGATTCTTGTGCAATGATGATCTTACTAACATTCCGAACTAGTTTTCCTGATGTATCCAAATAACCGCAAGTCAAAGTCACAATATGTACAGTGTGGAATTGTTTTTATCTTCTCGAAAAGGAAGTGTTTTGGCTATTGCAATGATCACCATTTAATTTATCATTGTCATTAAGAGTTATTAAATTTTTATTTTAATTTAATTATTAATTATAAAATAATTAATAATTAATAAAAATAATTACTATTTATTATTTAATATATTAAAATTAATTTATAAATAAATATTTTTAAATATTATAATTAATTATTAAAAAATTATAAATTAATAAAATTACTATTAAATAGGTGGCTTTAACAGTTTAGATAGTGATAGTAACCCAAGCCGGAGTGTTTGCCCACTAAAGTAGTCTTCTCCTAGTTTTTGTTTTTGGATGATTAAGATGTCTTTATTTGCATGTACTTCAATACTAATATTTTTTCACACAATTTTAAAGCCCTAGCTTCATACTTAATTTTGAAAAAATTAAATTTCTTTAAATATTAACTTCTTTTTCTTTTGAACAGCAAAAAATAATATTTATTAAAAACGGAGTACAAGGGATACCCCAAACCCATAAATATTTTAACTTGAAAGGCATAAATTTACAAGATCAGTCCATTCTGATATATTAACACAAAAGCACTTCCAAGTTGTTAAAAAACTTTAGCTTGCATTTTGTCGCCGCAGAATAAGAGACAGAAACTGTGATTCTGAATGCTTGCCGTAAGGTGTCGACACCAAAATTATGGGTCGACACCACACCCATGTCGGGTTTCTGTCTTCTTTTGCAATTTCTTCAATGGTAAAATTGTAAAACTGATCCTTCAAATTTTGCATAATGAGCATTTAGATCCCAAAACTCAATATTCATTCACTTAGGTCCCAAGATAACACCTTCCTTCTTGCAATTTGGGCCCTCAATTTTCAAAATATGTTCATTTAAACCCAAAAACTCCTATTCTTATGCATTCACTTTAAATATTAACTATAAAAACTTAAATATTTATTTATTAATAAATTCAACCAAAAAAATTGAGCCTCCTCCTAGCTATAGTTTACACTCACTGTGAATGTTTCTAGTTACATCCTGCTTATTTTGATTGGGTCTTAAACCCAAATGAAAGTGGTTATTATGAATAAGCACAATGCTCCATCTCGTTGTCTTTTTACTCTCTCCATTGGGCCGGTCCTCTACGACCCTCGGAAGGAGTTTTAAGTTTATACCATTTCTAGGTTTACCCACGTAGACTCCATTACAATTACATTGCTAGAGTTTCATTTTCTTTTGGAGTAAATTACTTTAGTCTACCCTAAGGTTATAAATGAGTTAGGACGAGTCGATTTTTTTCTAAATTTAAACTTAAATTTGATATTACAGTTACAAGTTAAGTTGAGTTTGGTGAGGCATCAAATGATAACATTTGGGTGATTAAAGGCATTATGAGGACTTTTGAGTTGGTTTTAGGACTTAGGATTAATTTTGGGAAGAGCTAGTTAATGGGGATTGGAGTAGAGGATAGCTAGAGAAGTAAGATAGCATACAAATTGTGTTGTAAAAGAAGGGGGGAGTTCCCATTTAAATATATGGGGATTCCTATAGGAGGGAATCACAAAAGGATAGAAATGTAGCAATCAATGGTGAAATACTTTAAAAAGAAACTAGCTAGCTGGAAGGGTTGACACTTTTCTCGGGGAGGTCATATCACACTCATCAATTTAGTGTTGTCTAGTCTGCCCGTGTTCCTAATGTCAATCTACTTAATCCCAAAAGGTATACTCCGTTCTATTGATAAAATTTGTTGGAGTTTTTCATGGGGTGAGGGGGGGAGAAAAGAGAAAAATAAATTAGGTCAATTGGGAGAAGGTATGTGAAAAAAGAAAAAAGAGGAAGGTGGGCTAGCAGTGAGGGAATTGAGGAAGTTTAATTTGGCTCTAATGGGAAAATGATGGGGATGATTAGCAGAAAATGAAGAGGGATTATGGAAGAGAGTAATTGTAGGAAAATATGATGAGGGAATGGGTCATTGGTTGGATTGGATTAAAGAAAATAAACAAGTAAGGTCTATTTGGTGGAGGGATGTGTGTTGTCTGAATGCAATGGATAGGGAGAAAGTACGATGGCTAATGGAGGGATTTAGGATAAAGATAGGGGAGAGTAATGCTATGAGTTTTTGGTGGGATAATTGGTGTGGGGCAAGTTGTCTTGCTAATAAGTTTCTTAGATTGTATCTTGTATCAACAAGAAAGGAGAACACATGCTACCAAATGGGCAATACTATGAACGAACCATGGAAGCAGAACCTCTTGTGGAGAAGAAATCTATTCAAGCGGGAAGTCGACGATGACACGAACTCCAAAATATGATAGAGGACACAAAGATTTCCCACGAATGCCCCGATATGTGGAAATGGGTTCATGACAAAGATAGGCACTACACAATGAAAACAGCTTATTCACTTCTAACAAAGGAGCAGATGGGATCAAATGTAGTTTCAATGTTCAAAAGAATATGGAATCCCATTATTCTGAGCAAAATATCTGCATCAACTGGTAGTTATTGTTAGAATTCCAACTAAGTCAAACTTATTGAGAAGAGGAATTATGAAAGACACGAGAGAAGGTAAGTGTGTTCTATGTGATGAAGAAGAAAAGAACTCTACTCATCTGTTCTTGAAATGCAAGATAGTTAGGTGGGTGTGGAAGGCTTGCACAAAATGGTGGGGGGTCAATGTGAAGTTAGAAGCAAACTGCTAGAAAACGTTTGAACATTTTGGGACATGGACTAAAGATTCATGCATCAGAGATGGCTGGGATTATATTTGGAATATTGTCATGTGGTCTGTGTGGCTTACTCGAAATCAAAAGATTTTTCAAGACAAAGAGATAGATTCGAGGAAGCTGTTTGAACTTAACCAACTAAGATCTTTTTTATGGATTAAAGCAAGAAAAGATATGTATGCCTTTTATCTCTCAAATTGGCTAATCAACCTTGTTGCTTGTTATAAAGTTAAACATGGTGGTAGTAAAGGTAGGGAACGAATGGTTTGAATGGTAAGATTTTTATTTATGAAGGGGTTTTGAATAGTGTAAATGGGTTTGAGTACCGCTTGTACTTATTTTAGTACTAAAAGTTTGATTTGCTGTTCAAAAAAATAAACAAGTTAAGTCGACTTTGAGTTTTTATTAAATTTAAATATACCAAATCACAATCAACTTGCAAATTCAACTCACAAACTTGAACTCAATTTGTGATCTCAATTGATTGCTTGAATTTAATTTAAAATTTATATTAAAATAAAATAATTTTGAAATATTTAATATATATAATTATTTTTTAATACATTTGAGTTAAATCGAGTTGAATTTTAACTTCAACTCAATTTTTCGAGCTCAAATTCAAGCGAAGTCGAGCCCAACTCAAATTTGAGTCTAGTAATGTATGAGTAACTCAATTCATTTATAGCCATAATTTACCTTCAATGAATTATTTAATTGATTAAGAGTATAAGATTTTAAATTTTGAGTTAGGCGGAGGAAAATTTTGAAAAAGGGATGAGTTCTATTATCTTATATAACTTATTATCGCATACACACACACATATATATATACACATACATCTAGGAATGAGTGTTGTGCACAATCTACATTATACCGAATTACATACCATTAATTATTGGTTAAAAGTTAAATTCTCTAACATTAGAAGCTTTTTTCTATCTAATAAATTTTATTTTATAATTTCATATAATTTAAATTGTAAA